CTAATAATAATATTTTGAACTTGATTACTAATTGTATAAAATAAAAAACTTCTTCTAAAGAACAATATTAGATAATCATTTATTTATCAACTTTCAGTCCGATTTAATTCTAACATAATAATTTGTCTTACCAAAAACAAATTGTACATGACAGCATATCACTCATAAGGTATCTGTATTTTGGTCACGGTGAAGATTTGTAGTACGGACAGACAAAAAACGTATAATATATAGTATAATGTAGAATAACCCAAACACATGGTTTACAAACATCTCTTTGATAATAATCCCTCTAACTAAACTGTATGTTTCCAGATAGAATTAGTTGAAATCATCTAAAATCTAAGGAAAAGGTCTAATTTCGAATTCAGCATACAACGTATAGGGTGCAAGCCTTCCCATTTTACAGTTTAGACTATAATCTACAAAACATCTTTATCTATGTAAATATACATAATATCTATAGCTAAAACTCAAAATTAAAAGTTTAATTTAATCAAAAATAAAAATAAAAACCCGGGGAGTGAAGTTACTCTGTTATATATTAAATTTTTCATTGAATATATCACTTTAATGCATGTGTTAAATTTCCATTTGATAATAAATCAATGTATGCTAAACATGATTTTAAACAAAGACTATTATCTAAGAGCTTATATTTTTAAGAATATTAATTTACAATTCATATATATATATATATATATATATTCAGTACTAATAGTCATTTATTTTTCTGTTAGTAGTTAAATTAATTTTGACTATAAACGAATGCATATACTATTTAATATTACAATATTTTTGTATAATTAATATATAACTTTATGATATTATACAAAACCGAAATAGGTATCGCAGAATGGAGTGAATAGATTAATGGCATTAATAACATTAAACAATCAAAATATTATGAAAATTGCAATGTAAATAGTAAACAATTATATACATAGCGGTGAAAAGTTTTAAATCCCGCATCTAATTTATTTTTACATAACAACAAAATAATTAAATTTTTATTTAAATATCTAATATAAATAAAATTTTAATATGAAATATCTATATATAAAAAAAAAAAAAAAACTATTCATTTTGAATTTTTGAGATTTTTAATTACCGTAAAATCAACTTAACGAGACCTTGTTTTAAATTGTCGATCTTTTCTACCGATCATAAAAAATATTTATCTCTTTTTAAATAAAAATTATAATCAAAAAAAAAAAAAAAACTAAAATTTCAACAAATTTCGAAATAACACCAAAAGAGCTGAATTATTTTTAAAGTTTTATTATACATAAAAATTTTCATGCAAAATAAAAAAAAATTTCAAGATATCAACTATTTCGATAGAATTTACAAAGCCACCTTTTATCATTTCATGATGATTCATTACATATTCACTCAGCCGATCCAAACATTGTAGAATATTAGTATTCTGACAAACATCAAAGGATATTGCACAAAGGTATAGTGTGTCCCAGTGTCCACCACTCAAACACTACCCCAAATAATCCCACAACGAAAAGATGAATTATCAACAATTCATAAAAAAAATATCCATATATTTTATAAGACTTTAAGCATGTACAAATATGCAAATAGCATATACAAATACTAAAACATTAACAAGATGTACTAAGTACATACGGAATGATTTAGTTATGTACTTGACTCCTTGTTCTAAAAAATACAATTTTTGAAAATATTTCTTACAAATAATATGAAGAAGTCGTTACAAAATATATTTTTTTTTTTAAATATAATTTTTTTTCAATTTTTATCGTTATAATTTTTTTAATTTTTACTCATTTGAATGACAACATCCATTTTTTAATTTTACATTCTGAAGCAAATTATAATTCAAAATATTTTGATGTATAATACTTTTAGACAAATAGTTTATTAGTTATATGTATTTGAAATTTCAAGTAGCGAAATAGTGGTCCAACATTTTTTCGAAATACCTTCAGGAACTTTGTAGGCAGTGACTAAGTTCCACTAAAAACAAATATTACCCATTTATTACACATTTCTTTCATCAAAACTTTGGTAAAATCATATTTTTAATAGATGAAGTAATAGCTTAATTATAATAAATAATGTATAAACGTGTGGCTATATACCCCTTAGCTCCACTGACTACCCACTTTTGAATACTCTGTACCACTCAACTCCGCTCATCTAAATTTTAAATATTTATAAATTATAATTCATTAACTACTCGTCCAAAATTAAATATTTGTACATCAAAATACCTCAAAAAATATTCTGTTCTGAATTAATGAATTAAAAGTGCACGTAATAGTTAAAAATACAACAATAAAAATAGTGAAAAATAAATTATATTTTTTTTAAATAAAAAAATTTCTAAAACTAATATTTTAAAAATGTTAATAGTTTTTGAAGTAATTACGTTAAATAGATTACCCGGTAAACTATTTATGTAAAAGTAAACATTTGTTTATAAACTAATTATAAACTAATTACAAAATATGAAAATGATTTTTTTGAATTATGGTCCAGAAACTCATAGCATCCATTCAAAAATTTTTAAAATAAAACCCATACAATAAAATTTTATTTGCTGAGGATTCAAAATATTATAACTTTTCTGCTTACGAGATTATAACATGGAAAATGTTACGACAAAGAAAAGGGTGATTGTCGACGAGTGGCGAAATAACCATTAAATATTTTCACGGCGTATTTTTAAATAAATGAGATAAAATGGAAGAATTGTTGGTGGTGGTAGTAGTGGTAATGATGTTAGAAGATATGACACTTTTATTTCTGAAGGAAACATGATAAGACAAACGTCATAATACAAAAGAAATTGTGGCCGTGGGTCTGTCAACCTCGCGCATAATAACATAGTAAATACGATTTCCTCTCGATTATATTCCAGACGAGACAGGCCTTCCCTGCTGGTTGACGCGTTTAACGACCCGATGCGGAACTGCTAATCGCAAATTTTTATTTCAATACCGTTTTCCACTGTCGTTATTTTATGTATATTTATTATTACACAACTCTCGGCCGTAAATGATATTCTTCACCTCCACTACTATGCTTTCATGAAATAATCACAATTGTCTACATTTTGATACTAACACAACGGTACGCTGCACATCATATAATAATGTAGTAATATTGTATAGTTGCCGAAAATGCAACCCATCAGTCATAAAAATGAAAATATCACCTCCTCTCATTATTCTTTCTTGATCAAGAAACCAAAACCATTTCAACATCGAACGGACAACGCTACTAATTGTGTAATTTCTACAAATGGTCTGTGCCTCAGATCAAACCCTAAAACAAAAGCTCTATACCAAAACTTGATAGTCAAGTATAAATACTTCGTCAACGATTGCGAGCGTATCTATCGACATACACTAATCCTAAATAACTTTCAACACAAATTTACGTCTAAATCGGGAATTGAAATCTTGTTAATTTTATAGGTTTTGATATAAGTTTTATTTAATGATATTTCCGATTAAAATTTATCAAGATTTCCAAGGGTTAATAAAATATTATTGCTTTTTATATGTTTCAAGACAAGGTTTAAGCAGCTAAAAGTAAAACACAAATCTGATCTTTATAAACAATTATTTAAGACCAAAACAATATATAAATTGTAATTTAACGCTCAAATTGTATGATACGAATCCCTAAATTAATATTGTTGATCCCATAAAATAAAATAATTACAAAAACCTATAGCTCAATTAAATTTCAATTTTGATTCGCTTTTTAAAAAAAAATGAGTAATGGTTCTACAATGTATTGGTCAACAGTTTTTTCATAATATTACGTTTATTTCCAGTCTTTAAATACAACATTTTCTATTTAAACTCTTATCCACAGTCTACCTTAAACACGTTTTGTTTTCCGCACGTTTGCTCAAAATTTTGCAAAACCATTTACTCTCCGAGATAAAAAAAAAATGTATCACCGCAATAATTTTGTATTAAATCATATATTATATAAGATTATATATATATAAAATATATATAATAGAAGATCATCTAAGTTTCAAGTAGGTGCTCAACGGCAAGCCCAGATTAGAGAGTGGGTCCAGAAAAACCCATGCCCCCCGGGCCACAAGATTTGAAATTATTCTAGGGGCTCCTCAATTTTAAATAATTTATAATATTGTGATTATTACTTATTAAATATTGTGTGTAAAGGAAAATATCTAAAAACACATTTAAAGCCTAGTATGAATAAAAATATTTAGATTTTTAAAACAACACATTTAATAATAATGATAATAATAATTTATTTTTGCCAAGTTAATAGTGTTTCTTTATTTTCCTCTTAAGATTTCATATTATACGATTATTTTGTTTTTATTATATAGTAATTATTATTAGTTTAATGAGAAATGTATACGATATGATACAAAAAAAAGTGCTTCAGAAAAATTTAATGACAATAAAAATACCGATATAAACAATGTTTTTTAATTATTCACATCGAGACCTCAAAAGCCTTAACTCGTGAATGCCCACTTTCTCAACGAAGGACCTACAATTCGAGCGTAGAAAAATTCAAGTCTAATAATATGGAGTAGCATTGTACGGCGTATTCTTGACAGTTGACATTATTACACGTCTTGTTGGCATTATGACAATAGTATACCTACGTGTAATAACAACAATATCGTATTAATTTATTAGGAAAATCATCCTAGCGCCCGTAAATCATCGTTACTCCTCAACCGACCAATTTCTTCTTCTAATTTTTTTTTTTCTTCGCCTTACACCATTTGTAACCTAACCGTTTGTACTTTCGTCAAAAAACTGTCGCACACTTAAAATCGACTGTTCAGTCCGGGCGCAGTGACGACATCATCTCGCGGCACTCGGGACGACCGAAATCCGACCGATCGAATTCGGAACGATTTCGTGGTTTTTATCGTATAAATACTTTATTATTATTATCAAAACGACGAACGGTCGACGGTTTCCGGGACACGCACAACGGCGTTCGGCACTCACCAGCACGTAGACGGCGAACGGCATGACCACGAGGGCGACCAGCAAGTCGGCCAGCGCCAGGCTGACGATAAAGTAATTGGTGACGGACTGCAGGGCCCGTTCCCGGCACACGCTGATTATGACCAGCATGTTGCCGAACAGCGTGAGTATTGGGAACACGACCAGCCCGAGCGCCCAATAGTTTTTCACGATGACGACGACGGCGGGCTCCTCGTAGCATCCGGTGACGTTGTTGAACACGGACGACGGGGACGCGGCGAACGCGGAACAGTTGTCGCTTCCGGTGTATTCGTCCGTGTAATTGCCGCCAAAGTCGAACCGGTGCCGTTGCCGTACGTGCGCCGCCGCGGCCGTCCGTTGGGCCACCGCCGCAGCGGCCGCGGTCGCCGCCGGTATGCGAACAGCTCGCCCGTGGTCGTCGCCGTCGTGGCCGGCAGCGAGCGCCCGCCCGCAGCAGCAGCAGCAACCGCGTCACGTGGCCGCCGGCGCGGACGGCCGCGGAGACGCCACCGGGCGACGACGGTCCGCGTGCGTCGGACGCGCGGCGGCGGTCATCGTCCGAGGTGGCGGGGCGCGCCGGACCGGGTGATGCGGCGAGCGGGACGGACGCGCGACGACCGGCGAGAGAAGATCGCGACGAACAACCGCGGAAACCCGTAACACCCCCACCTACACCGCCGACCCGGACACCTGTACCAACCCGACCGCACTGTACCGGACGACGACGACGACGACGACGACGACAATACTAAATATCGGAGCGGAAAAGACGCGACCACGCTGACGTCTAGGTGTGATATGACGACGACGATGGTATTATGACGTGTGGACGGCGACTCGCGAAATCGTCCGCTTTTCCGCACACAACGCGCGCGTACCGTCGACTGATGGTCGTCGTGTCGCCCGCGAGAACGGTCGTCGCCGCGTTAACGGTACACGGCGGTGGCGGCGGAGGGTAGCGCGCGCGCGCTTTCGTTCGCCCGCTCGGCGTTTCGCCCGTCCCGTTGTCGCGGCGGCGGTACAACGCTCGCCGCCGGCCCGTCGTTAATTATCAACTTTCCGGCCGTGCACACACCGGTGGTATTCATCGCCGCCGGATATTATCGCCGTACGTTTAAGTTCTCCCGCCCGTCCCGCCGCCACCGCCGCCGTGCCGGACGGTCCGTCCTGTTAAACGTTGCTGCCGCCGCGGCCGTTGAATTATAGCGCAACTTCGGCCGCGGCGACGACGACGACGACGACGGTGACCACGCCGCGGCATCGGACACTCGAATTGCTATTGTTGTTGTTGATGTTTGTTGTTGTTTTTGTTGTTGTCGTCGTCATCGTCGTCGTTGTCGTTGTTGTCGTCGTTGCCGTCGTTGCCGTCGTTGCCGTCGTTGTCGTGGATGTTGTCGTTTTCATTATTAATGTCGTGGACGTGGCGACGGCGGCGGTAACGATTGACGTCCGTCGGACGTGCGCCGGCGGCGGTAAGCTGCACGTCAAGAAACTACATCAGCCGACGCGACCTAATCTCGCGGACTTATTAATAACGTCGTGTAATAATATTATGCACCTTTCAGTAATATATTACCGCTCGCTGCCTACCCTTTAGTGGCCAAAAGACCATAAATTAACCCGTTTGAGTTTGGCTCTCCAGAGACCGTAGGGCTGCTTTACTGTTTAGCCACTGTTTAATCCACAATGGCCGTAAACACTAACCGGTTTCTGATCGGACTCAAAGAAAACGGTTAATAGTGTAAATACGCGTACGGATTAAAGAATACGCTTTAAACCGCGGGCATGTTTGAAATACAAACACTTTAAGTCGGCAAGAACCATCTCAATCCTAGACGTTTAACTTCTCTGGACTGATCACCCGATCAGCAGCTCCGTTACGTTCGATATTATACGTTTAAGACTTATTGTCGACTAAGCATTTTCAGCTGTACGACTTACGAGTATACTACGTTGGTATTACGACAATGGAATAATAAAACAAATTACAAATAACTGTCGTCTCGACTTATCCGCACCACTATTATGCTTAAAAATATACATACGAATTTATAAATTAGCTACTGTCTTCCTACAAGAAAGCTATTTAAAAAGTCTGTCAATCTAATGCATACAAAAAAGATGTACATATATATTATATTATTATAATAGAGTAGATATCTTTGTAATATTTGTGTCGTATGGAAAACCGGACAGCAGAACGTATTATTCCAGCCCGTCGCTCACTGAAATCGCATTCTATTGGATGTCCCAAACACCATAGGAGTCCCGAGTGTAATATGTTCCTCATAATATTATTAATATTATTATGTTGACGGTCGGGGCGGAAGAAAAAATAAAATACAATAATACGCGTTTACGAGCACGTCACGCGTCAGGACCGCCGACCATCACAATGTGTAACACACTAACACGCAGCCACAGATTTCCATACTTACTGAATGACGACATGACGTAACTTTGTACAGTATAATAGACGTCACGAATACAACACGCGATTACTGGACAGTATATATAAGTGCTTATAAACCCACTACACATTGAAACATAACATAATATAGGTATACATAATTGTTGTATATTATATATATATATATATACACTTACACAACTACACCAAAGTTTTTCAAGATCAGGTGCAAATTAATAGGGTGACCAATAAACAGTCATCTAGCGAAATAATAATAAAGATCTGCAAAATATAAACAAATTTAACTAACCACGGTGATTAAAACTCATGATATCGGTGTTAAAGTAATTTATAGTCTTCAGTATTGAAATTATAATACTCTGGCAACTCTATTAGTTGTACGACATTTAACGAGAATAAGTTATAACGAAAAATTAAAATATTCGATTACATGATGGATAATAAGTAGTTACTATAGTCACCGTCCGATACCGCTTTATGCCAATACATACTAGTAATAACGAATTTCTACCAAGAAATTTAGATATTTTTATCAATAACTGTCATAATCCGGCCGCGAAATCGCGACAATAAAAACTCGCAATTATTATCATTTGAAATAACTGAAAGTATTATATATTTATAAAATAGAATATTACTAACTACAGAAATATATAAAAAAAAATTATAAATTGAAATCTCATAAAGAAAAATAATTTAACAATAGTAGGCCTTAATAAACAATGCCAAATAATCCTAATCATTAGTAAAACTATTTGACTAACACACTAATCCATCTCGTATGAAATTTTTAGTGGGTTCCTAGAAATTTCCCTAAAATGGTGCCAAAGAAAAATGTACACCTCCCCCACTCTGAATGATCATGAACACTTACTTATCTCACGATGATTTGGCATATAATATAATAACATCGTCATTCATTTCACATATAGTGTTGGTGATAGGTTTGAAAATTATCTAAAATAGATATATCCAACAAACGATCTGAGACATCAAAAATGCGATGATTTTAAGCACCGCCGCACCGTCACGACCAGAATGCGATAGATGTCCTTCGGGTCACTGCCATCAGAAACAGAAACAGTGTTTGTATACACGTGGACATTCATGCAGAATTCAATGCTAAAGTTTGTGAATCTTTTTTAAAGTATTTGTGTATAACATTATAAAAGCTAATTATTTTTCTAGAAAAATATTTTTTCTTTAATTCTTAAACGTGTAAAAGAACCAAAATATTATAATTTAATTAAACAAATTTCAATATAAATAAGCTTGATTTAACAAAGCAATATAAAATATATTACCTATATTTATATTCCTTTGTAATATTTACTTCATGTGTTCCGCACATTTATAATTGTAAAAACTAAACTAAGTAGTGTTTAACAAATTTACTTTTGCAGTAATAAATAACACAAATCCGCATAATTTCGTACGCACTATTTTCGGTTTGCATAGATTCTTTAACAGTTTTTTTATACTAACTAACAAAATGGTCATTTCCCCACCGGACGTCAAACAAAGTAAACGCCTAGTGTGGCTGTTTGTTAAATCATAAAAGTTAAAAAATTTATCATAATAATATTGCATTCGAACTATAGCTTTTTCAGGCCCGTCGTCGCAGTTATCTGGCTTATGCGTAAACGAATCTGACATGGGCGCTTATAAATTACAACTATGCCATATGAACTATTCCATGATCACTTTAGTCCTCTAGTCTTAATAATGTAGACTATAGCCGTGTTTTTTTAATTTAACTGATTTTTAAACAATGAATTAATGTTACTAATCTAGACTAAATTCCTACTTTATATAAATTGTGTCACGCGACGTACAAGAATTTAAATTCCGCGTTAACGACCACATAATTGGGATTTTTCGCAATATAAATGTTACTGTAGATCAGCAGTCTTCAACCTTCATAGATTATGGCCACTACTTGTTTTTAAAAATCTCGTAAACCATTTAAAATACACATAAGATAATAAAAATCGTGTTAAAAAAATACAGTACATGCTATGTTAAAATGTATTATTCACAGAACTAATATAAGGACGAAACGGGCCACGGATTAAAGACTCCCTACTATAGAGTATTTTTATACACCCTTCTATGCAATTACTTTCGAATAGATCTTGTATATAAGATGCGTAAATAGGTATTACGTACGTAATTTCACATTGATTTAAATCGCAAAAAGTTTGTTAGAAAGAAGAATAGATTTGATTCTATTAGTTTATACAAAGCGGCCCAATTAAATTTAAATGTCACACTGTCACTTATTAAACACCACTTGCATCACGCAAGTAAATTATTTATGTATAATATTATATACAGTTATAAACAAACAAACTTTTAATAATATGTCATATTATTACAGTATTAATTTGTAAATATTTTAATAGCGTAACATGGAGTGTGACGGCCTTTTACAGCCACAGCCATACCATATCTTTTGAGTGGTCTAAAATAAATAAACTTGTCATTATTATATTTATTCGTGTTTTCCCCTCTGATAGAAGACACTTTAAAGTGTTGCATATCCGGTGCCAAACTGAGCATAACAATAATGATACATAGACAAAACAATACATTACGGTCGAGTCCACAATTCATTCGTGATCATAAACAAATATATTATACAATATATTATTATAGTTTTAAACTATTATTTTATGGTTGAAGTTGTATATGTACCGCCATCAGAAAGGTTGACAACGGTGGTCAAATATCAATTCGGCGCATATTAAATGTTCTATAAAAGTTACGTTCGTTCAAATATTGTACATGATTTACGTACCCAAAGTGACAAACTATTAGTATTTATTCAGGTGAACAACTCTCTTTAATTTATTTATTAACGCAGTTACATATTATTGTTTGTTTAAATATTGAAATAAGATCATTTTAAACTAACTTTATTTTATTCATTAACAATTGAAGCTTGAAGCATA